GTGTGGTTTGGTGTAATTTGTGCCATACCTTTAAATTTGGCACATACATTTATGTCGGGAAGTTTTAAACTTCTTATTGTTCCTTATTCCCTTCAGAAAATAGTCATGAGTTTGATTCACATGATGTGGAAACATATTAGGCCAGATGGAGAAGGAACATTTTATATCACCTGATATCTGCTGTTATTCAATGTATTAATGCAAGTTGCATCATTATGTATTCCACCACATATGTATCTATTACAGTGTATTTTACATGATATCATATATTATTATATCTCTATTCCAGCAGAAAGCAGCTTCATAAAGGCACACAAATGTCAATAAGAGGAAACAGCAGGGGAACAAATGTCTGTATTACTTCACCTTTACAATTTCTAGATCACAACTCACTTCATGAGATCAGAGAGTCATGCAAAGTATATCAAAAGGATGTGCAGTCAGTGCCACCAAAAATAACAGGAAAATGCAAATGACTGAGTATTCCTGTAACACCTCACAGCTAAAAAATATCAACAGTTGAGCTACCACATTAGTTTCTCATCAAGTGAGTTTCTCATTATGTTCCATTTTCTATGCAGTGTGGTGGGAGTTTATATAGCCTTTTGCCAAATATTGAAAAAAGCATGAAAAACCATTGCTGTTGCATTATTTCTAGCCCATGCAATGCAGACCTAAGTCTTACTTATGCTAGTGCCACCCAATTGTTAATACCTTAAAGCACAAAGTTCTTTAACTTTGCTCTCTAGTGTTGCATAATCACAAACCCTAGTGTTTGGTTTTCACTGTACAAAGACAATACGCTGGTACAACATCAATGGTTTCTGATATTTCCTTCTAGATTAGGTTTAGATAACCTTTTACATCCCCATTGCACGTACACAGAATTGTGTGCCCCTGCTTCACTTCCCCTGGGCGATTCCAGTCAACAAGCTTTGGAAAAGTCTTTTCAGAAGACAGAGTACCATCACGGGAGAAACAAAGAAGAATTGCAGAAATGTATAGAATAAATTTAAGCAGCAAGTAAAAATTGAGTAACAGGAAACAGGTGACAGGTGAAACATAAACTCCTTTTATGTGCACCCAGGAACCCAAACTAGCTGGGTGAGAAAACAAAGCAGGGTTTAAAATGCTAGATACATTCAGAAAAAACAATGATATTTTAAAATGTACACAAAGCACTCTTAACATCAGCATTGTGATTTTATAAGCCTTACCAAGTTTAAATTCAGTGAGCAGGAAATGTGGTGGAAAGCTCAGAAATTATCTGTTGTGAATGGCACAAGTTTCATCAGACAAATGGTAAAATGTGTAGTCTGTCCTGTAACTTTCATTATCTACTCACTATTGAAAGTTGTTTTCTAGCACGAGAGGAACAAATTACAATAAACTGCAGACATGCTCAGTTTAAAAGTCCTCCCGGGCATTTTCTTAATGACTGGTTTCTATTTTCTTCTGGTTTTTTCTTTGTCCTGCTGAAAAGGGCTCACACTGACGAGAAGCAGTCTGCTCAGGTCGCCACTCCGACGAGCGGACTCCCTTCACTGCAGCAGCAGGCACATCCGCCGAGACAGTGGGCTGACTGCTCAAGACAGCGCAGGAAGCCAAGCTTCAGTAAGGAAAACTAGCACTTGAACCAGGTATCACAGCTAGTAACTCACTGCCCTACATCTGCAGACAGGCTGTGACTGTACAGTGTGCTCTACAGAGAAGCAGACTTACTTCAGTGAAGATCTGGATGTGTACAGAGAATTCAAATTCCTGTTTGTGTTGACTAATCTGGTTCTATAGAAAACAAATGTAAATGATGGATATGGTGGGAATTATATATGTGAGTCTTCAATTTGCCTTCAAGACTTGAAGAAAACAGCACCTTTTACATTAGCAGTAATTAATCATCGCTGGCTTTTTCTTTGTGTTATAACTGAACTGACAATAAGCACTGTAACTGGCATAATGCCTTACGGAATATCAGACATCTCACACTCATCATAATGCTCACACATTGCCAGTCATGTAAAAGTACCACCTGTCCACAATAATAACAAATAACAATTCAAATAACATCCATGTACTCTTTGCAAAATCTAGGATACAAATACAAAGTGTGTTTGTGAGCACAATTAAAGGATAGAATCACAAGCCTTAGCTACAGGCCTAAAGGACCAGTGGAAAGGTACACGTTTCTTAACTCTATTCCACCCTGAGATTGCAGAGGGAAGAACCTCTCTTCCCTTCTTAAAATCGGACAGTTTTAGTTTTGGTTTTGGTGGGTATCCCCACACATACAAGATGCACAAGATGGGTTCAGAAATTACTGTTGAGAGCACATCAGCCTCTGGAACACATTCGCTTCTTGGGAAACTGTAAACACAACCCACCCTTGCTATCACACATACACAAGCGACTAACTGACAGACTTATTGACTTTTATAACTTTTTGGCTCTGGTGTAAAATTCGCTTTAATTTTTTTCCAACTGCAAATATCACTGCAGAGAAATTTTCACAAGTTTAAACATAAAAATATGGTGATACGGTACATACTATTTTCACATCTATCTAATCTTATTTGATTTGTAGCAAGTCTTTTCCACTGAGGGTGGCTGAGTAATTGAAAAAAAAAGAAGCAACACTTATCCAGTCTTGTTGCAGTTAATGGTTAGAAGCAGATGGTTCATTTAATCAGGGTCATTAACGAACTGAATATGGAGTCACTTCACTAAGCGAATCCTTTAGTTTTCAATTCTGGTATAAAACGGTTAGTCTAACATGATAAAAATGTAACAGTCATTAAGCAATACAGGAGCAACAGAATAGACTGAAATACTGCAATACTAAAAATATGTTGAATTCACTATTGATAATCAGAGGTAATACATTACCCATTTGGTCTGAATTGCTTTGTTATGAATATTGAAGAATGGCAGAATCACACAATTTTACTGTCCAAAACTTAATGAATATATCTATTTTGAATGAATGTATTTTAAAGCATATATTACATACGTATGAATTAAAAGGTTTGTTTAGTGGACTAAGACCTGAAATTGTTTCACTTTTGACATTTGGCACAAGCCTGCAGGTTGTTAGAAATCCACCCAGAATGTGAATATTGACTTTAATAATTGAATGTAAAAGAAGCGGTTAGTTAATAAAACATATACAGTATATAAAAAATAATCTAAAAATGTGATACATTAGCCATCCATCATCAGGATTGTGCCAATACAAGGAAAACCTATTTAATATTGCCAGTTCTGGTCAATACATATGGTAAATTCTGAACTTGCATGCTGGTCTCTCAGAGGTGTCTGGTCCATAATCAAGTGTTGCACAATGGTCTCATACTGACCATACATACTGAGAGTAAACAGAATAATTGGTGTTTAGAAATTACATGGCCAAACAAAAATTCATCTTAACACAGGAGGATTGAAGACCAAGAGGCTTGCATAATATATGCCAGATTTAATATACCAGATGGAATTCCAGACAATAATATTCAAGACAAAGACGTTTTGAAATAACATATTTCTTCCGGCACTCATGTTACAGATCTAAAATCCGTTCTTTTGTGTAATGAGAGAATTATCTGTCATCCTATCCCATTTCAAAGGTTCTCTTCCCATAATTTATTGCATTAAAAGTGTATGGCTACTATCGCCAAATTCAGCTATAGAAAAAAAGCATGGTTTTCTCTGGTAAAGGAAAACCATGTGATCTTGGAAATACTTTTCGAGCACAGCACTGATATACAGTAGCTGTCTTACTGTCTGAAGAGCAGTGAGAGTTTGAATATATCCAAGCTATGAAGAAACCAGCAAGGTCAAGATGAAACGATTCTTTTTTAAAAACCTTTTGCTAAACATCTTCAATTTTAATGACATATTATGAAAATATACAGTATATACATATTGTATGAAATATAGATAAGAACATAGAAAATTTTTATCTGTACGTCATGAGCTTACTATTAAATTGACTGAGAAAAAGCATGCCCTTAGCAGACACACACTGCAAATTTATCCAAGGTCTTAGATAAATACTAAGTGTATTATTATTATTGTTATTATGAGCAATAATAATGACCGTATAATATTATTGGTGCTGATGACAACAACAGTCCATCCATTTGTTAGGTACTTCATCCAATTGAAGTCTAAAGGGTCCACCAAAAGGTGCAAAGAAGGATACTGTACACTCTGGATGGGACACTAGTCCATCGCTCACACTCACACCTAGGGCCGATTTTCCCACAAGTCAATTCACCTACCAGTGTGCCTTTGGACTGTGGGAGGAAATCAGAGCACCCAGAGGAAATAAACACGATCACCGGGAGAACAGACAAACTCCAGGTCCGTAATTGAACCCAGGGCCACAGCACTGTGAGACAGCGATGCTAACCACTGCCGCATCCAAAATAAGTCATATTAGTAATAATAACCATTGTTGAAGAATTCTGAATAAATACATTTATCCTATTTACAATACAACGCTCTTGTCATTTCAAAATTCTTTTAGTTTCATGAAAGTATCTTAAGTTCTTTAAGCTGATGAATGGCCTACTGTCTACTCAGATGTGTACAAAGCATTTCATGAACTGAAATACGAACAATAAAGCTGCACATACGTTTCTCCAATTAGCCTTTACATTTCTGCAGTTACCATCTTGTCTGAATGAGACATTTTGCTAGGGCGCAAGTTTCAAGCGTTAAGTTATTCTCGTACCTTCAGTCCACAGGAAAGTGCCGGTCAAAGCACAGACATAAAGTGAAGTGAAAAACGCGAGTTTGGCAACAACGCTTTAAAAGAAAAAAATGAACTAAATGACAGAGATTGTCACGTAGAGGAGAGAACGCTACACATGCAAAAAATTACCTTCAGTTACCTCTGCAACAGGTGCAACACACGAATTGTCACTTTACAGAGACTGTAACCATGACAAAGTATTAGACGAGGAAAAGAACGAGGAAAGTAATAAACCGAAGGTTTGTCTTACCGGTAAAACGATCATCAAAATAACCAGTAGTTTTAGCTTAATGGTTTTTGTCAAAGTTAGTTGTCCCATGATGTGGAACAAATTGGAAGTTACGATTGTGTTACTTTTTGGATCGTCCTTGCATGTCATCTGTATGCGTCTTTTTTCGTTTCTTTCTCTTCTTTTTTTAAAAACAACACATTTTGAAAATGATAAAATAAAATGCAGAACTGTCTTCGCCTCGCGATGTCTTCGTCTCTCGCAATTCCACGCTAGTAAGGAGAAATGTTTAATTTGAGGAAGAAAGTTTTTTTTTTGTTGTCGTCTGGGTGGAGCAATGACAGTCTCGAAACGTCATGTTAAACTTACTGTTTTGTGAATGTCAATGACCCGCCTCGGGCATTATTTTTTTTACACCCTCATCCCTACTTGTTTCGCCAGTTCCTCGTTCCTGTGAAGCCAAAACTAAACTACGATGTTAAATCAAGCCTTTCGCCGGGAAGAAAACGTGCCTCCTTGGTTTACATTCCTAGTGGACTTCAGAGGAAGTTGGGTCATCCCACATTCTTTCACTAACTTCATTAAATTCGGCCAAGACAGCGCAGATCACAAGCATCACTCTTTTAGAACACACCGCTTTACAGCCCGGTCGTGTTCATCTCTTGACTTTGTGCAGTGTTCGCCTGCAGTTTCTTAATTGAATTATACAACATTTTCAACGTAATTTCCTTTCTTAGTATCGCTGCCTTTTCCCATTTTTTTTGGAATTCCTTTGGAATGCGAAAAAAAAAGATTGTTCCCTGTTTTGCTATTTCCTGTTCCCCATCTTGCAATTGCATCCAGTTATCTTTGTTATTTATTTACCTTTTATTATTTTTGCTTTTCACACATGTGCATAAACATGTTTAATAAAACAAGCAAAAATGCATCTCAAGTTAAGATCAGTGAGATGGTCTGTAATGCATACTGTACATTGATATCAGCACTTGGTAGATACATTATAAACATTGTGATTATATACAGTACATCCAGTATGAGTCTACAGTATGTTGGTGTTCACATACTGTACAGTTGATATCCTGCTTTATTAATTAATTGTTCTTGAAAAGAGTTCTTACTACCCCTCCAGAGGTGCTGTAGTGATTGAGGCTGCACTTGTGATTGCACTTATTATGAAGAAGCAATTAACAGAAAACTGTTTAAATGACAATGATCTAGTAATGTGCCACACCATCTCACAAGCCTGTAAGCAATTGGGTCACAATCATTTGGGTCAGACCTAAGTGTCGGTCAAGATTCAGTCATGCATGGCTGGATCACTCAGTTTATAACAGCACAAGGGCCTTTGAGGTATTCTTTCTTTTTTATTTTGTCAGGCAAAACTTTTGTTATACAACACAAGCATATAAAATATAAAAAAGTTTTTAAACAATCTGTCACAGCGTGTCATTGAAAATTCAGCGTATTGAGTATTTTGAATACAATGCTGCATTGTGATATTGAGTTTTGAAAATTATGCGGCATTGTGAAGCACTATTGCATGTGAAAATGATGTGACAATTCTTCCAGGAACTAAAAACTTCTCACCCCTCATAATAAATATG